ATTATGAGTGTTGTAATCTAAAATTCGAAATAAAATATGGAAACAATAGTTAGATCATATAACATGCAATTTAAATAAATATAGAAAATGTATAAACATGCAATCTAAATAAATTAAATTAATCGATTTGGAATGAGTTGGCCTGCGAGTTCGAGAGGCGTGTGATCACTGTCCTAAAGCAGCTGAGCCTCCCCACGTGAGGGTACTGACGGACACCAGTAACTCCAAGATCCAATCCAGACGCTCACAGCAGCACCTTCTCAATAGTCACGTCCATTGGAAAGTTAAAATGAACTTGACTCAAATTGAGTTGCCCAAAAATGAAAAAATGATAATTGAAAAGAAATGCCAAGTATAAAAGAAATAGTTGAAAAGATAGGCAAGTGTACAAGATGAAAGGAGGAATTAGAGAGTCTCCTGGAATGAGCATAAGACAGATACTCGGAGAGGATTTCATTATTTTCACAAAAGCTATTTTAATAGCCTTTTATATAGTGAATTGTGTGTATAACGTACACATGAACTATAGTTATAAAACCAAATTTAAGGTCAATAAAAATTATTTTTTAATATACACATTAAATAAGACCAAAAATTTGCAATTGAAATTTACTATTTAAATATAATTAAAATAGAAATTTAATAAAAGTTTTAACAACTTAATTTAATTCTTACACATATCCCAAGCCTCAACCACCTCATCCGTTATGCAAACATCAAAGAGCCACCAATTCCTGTCACAAGAGTGACGCCTTAATCAATGCTCCTCACAATGATACTTCCATCAAAGCTTACTTTGGGGCGCTATGAAGAATGTATTCTCCTATAAATTGTAAGCACCTCCTACATATGAGGAGTATGACACACATCTCAGCACACTACACTCATGAGCAAAAAGATTTTTTGACCACCATCGTCATTTCTAGTGGAGTAGGTCACTCAGACTGAACTACCTAATTTTTGCATTTGCATTGAGTCCTCTTTATTTCATCATTTAATTGATTTTTTATAAACTCACTTTTATACATCATCGAATATTATTTTACACCAAGGAAAAAGCCAAAGGCAAATACCAACGAAGAAATTAACTTTGGTACTCCGTTGAACCCAAGATTCCACGACTATACCAGAACCACCACTGCGATACCACCACCTAATCTAAATCTACCACATCTGCTACCCCAATCTAAACCCCCAACTGAAACACAACTTAAAAGCACCACCGACCTTCCCCTCCTCTCTCCAACACACACACTTGCAACTCTCCAACACAGTCTCAACTTGAATCACCCACCTGTTAGAATATAAGTACACAAGTTCAAGTGTAAATATGAAAATACAACCCTAAGAGTTGTTCAAATAATAATAGAGACAAATTATAAATCTAGATATCCTAAGTTTGAATCTTAATAACTTTTTTCAAGGCAGGTTATAAGAGATTTTATCCTTCATGAAAATCCTAATTCCAATGTGGATGGTATGTGTTTGATTAAAATGAAGAAAAAATTAGTTGATGTACGCATAAGCTGACCAAGATAACTCTGATTGTTGAACAAAATATATATATATGAAAATACTTGTAAAAGAACTACAATAATTCCTATTGAAAACAAAATAATAAAATAATTTTAAACAATTATCACTGCTTAACCAAAACCTTTTTTTTTTTGTCAGAAATCTTAACCAAGACCTAAATACCATAAGATTAGTGCACATTGGATAATTACGGCCACTCAATAGAGGCTTTTGCTAAACTAGAAGTGCATTTGCACGTGAAAATTTTTATTAAATATTTGATAAAATATATAAAAATTTAATTATATAGTTAAATTAGATATTATTTCATGTTTATTATATTAATTTAAATTGTTTGAATTGTGAATGAAGAGAAAAAGATACATATATTGATTTTTTGGCACTAGAGATGATATTGTATCGATAAAATTATCGATGTGTATTAATATTTGAATTTTGAAAAAAAATAATAATTTTTATCTAAAAATTTTGCAAAGATAAAGAGATGCATATTATATATTAGATGTTAGTTTGTTATTTAAGTAGAGAGAGATATAATTGCTCTTTACTTTACATGGGTAATCTGGAATAAAACAAGATCATTGACAATAACAACAAGGCGAAGGCCATTTCTTTCTTGCACGGCACACAAACCCACACAGATCTAAATTGGTGCAAGATCTAAATCAAATAAGAACTTTACTGCTAAACAAGTGGATCAACCACTTTTATAAATTGAGTAAGGCAGAGAGGTCTCATGTTCTTTCTAAAAGACTTTATCAATTATGACGCACTAGGTTATATTGTTGAATGGGTCTCGGGTGGACTAGAGTAAAGAAGAAAAAGGTGGTTGTAGGTCAAGATCTCCAAAGTGTGCATGAGCAACGGGCATAGCCAAGTAAGGTGAGCATCAGAGGTGAACATATTACTGTAAATAAAGTTAAGCAGACCTTTTGAGTGAGATGTCAATGGGCGAAGCTGCTTTACTGAGTTTACGAGGTGAAAGCAAGTCAAATGACTTTAATTTTCCGCTTTAATAGAATAGATTCAAGAAGGCAGCTACTTTAGTATACGGAATAAGCCTAGGCTTGTGTAGACGTAGCCGCAAGCCAGCCTACATATGGTAATTTGTATATTTAAATACAAAAGGATCTTTTTGTTTTTATAATTTTTTATCATGATAAAATAGTGAATTAAAAGTTTTTTATATTAATATAGTTTAATCTCTTGATGAGTAGTTAGCTTTCCTGTCGAATTGTAACCCAATTTTTCCCTTGGGAATCCCCCTTATTCCAAGCACTAAGCATGATCCCTTTAGTACGCTGTTAGCTCGAGTTGGCTTGAAAATGATAAGGTAGTTTGGGAAAGGAATTTTTGAGAAGTTCGTAGATTCCCTAGGAATTCAATTCAATCCTTTGCCCTCACGCCAACTTGCGTAGTATAGATATAGATATAAATAATTAGTGTTCCTATCCACCTATTATATAATTTTTTTTTTAACAAATACACACAAGGGATACATGTAGATTTTGAATATATTTTATTCAACATAATACTATATTCACAAACTTATTTTATAGTTTTATTGTAATCCTCGAGATGTTAAATCGCTAATGATTTTTGATTAAAAAAAATCTAAATTGCTTCTAATAAACTTATCTTTTTAATTTTTTTTTCAATAATAAATCATTCATCATAAAATAAACTGAGATCGGGATTCAAATGCCAAAAAAAGTGTTCATATTAGATATGGTTTGATGAGCCTTTAGCCTGTATAGAGCTTTGCAGGAGCAAATCTTGAGTTTTGTATCACATTTTTAATCAGCTTTAATTTTATATTCGGATGTCGTATTGTAAATGTGATCTAGCTAATTCACCGACTACTCCTGGTCACTATAGTTCGGGTTAATTTAAGTCTATGTCTCATAAAGAACAAAAGTAGGTGGGCCTTAGAAGATGTGAGAAGTATCGAACGTAAGACCTTTTATTTACTAAAAGATAGACTTGATCACTGTATCATCTCTAAAAATTTAAATATGATCTAATTCACAACAACGTTTATGTCCTTTTCGATTAATGCTACTTAAACTTAAAAATACAAATTAATCACTATCATTTATTTAATCATAAAATCTAATATTTATTTGAATCTCCTACCTATCGAATGATTGTCGTTATTCACCGTTTATAGTCTAAATAATATTCTCATTTCCTTTAGAATATCGTGCGGCAAGCTCGCTACCTCAAATTTGATTCCCAAAAAATTAAAAAAATAACGATTCCACTGGGGATCGAACCCAGAATCTCTGGTTCCGTAGACCAGCGCCTTATCCATTGGGCCATGGAATCGACTTTGTACGAAGTTTCAAAAACTAATATAATTAACAATTAACTTGTGGAACCATCATTGTGGGCCCAATGAGTCGTTCTGCCTCTCCGTTCAGTCTCTTTCAAGTTTCAATTTCCGAGTTAGGTGAATAACACTTTGTACACACAAAATTTTTAAAATTTTAATTTATACTAAAAGGTTCAAAAATTTTATTACACCCTTAATTACATAAAAAAAATGTCAATGTCATCTAAAACCAACACATCCATGGCTCTTGTTGACAATATTTTTCTATAATCACAACAAAATTACTTGTATACTGGACAAACTTAAACATTTACACACGGGATGATTCAGTGGTTAAATTTATTTTTCTTGTAAGTAAAATGTTTTAGCTCGAGTTACGATGAACGACTCATAGAGGCACAAGGCTGAATACTAACAAAAATAAAAATAAAAATTAGTAAATTTATTCGACGATTTTAAATAGATTCATTCAACGACTATGAATATTTCTCTCAAAATTATTTGTATTAAATTTTTTTCCTCCCTAAAAATTCATCACTTTTCACTTATATTGTATCATACTTTGGCTTACCCATAATTTTTTATATAATTAAAAATACAATGTGAGAATTTTGATTTTAAAAGGTTTAAAGTGTCATTTATCTCATGAGTAATGCGCTTGTGCCCAAGTCGAGAAGGGGTCAACATTTATGAGTTGAAGTCACTTAGATCATACTCTTCTTCTCCGCCAACCTCCTTCCTATCCTAAGCAGAAACAGAGGCNTGAGTTGAAGTCACTTAGATCATACTCTTCTTCTCCGCCAACCTCCTTCCTATCCTTTGCAGAAACAGAGACNTTTTTTATATAATTAAAAATACAATGTGAGAATTTTGATTTTAAAAGGTTTAAAGTGTCATTTATCTCATGAGTAATGCGCTTGTGCCCAAGTCGAGAAGGGGTCAACATTTATGAGTTGAAGTCACTTAGATCATACTCTTCTTCTCCGCCAACCTCCTTCCTATCCTAAGCAGAAACAGAGGCTTGCATACATAGCTTTAGAGGGAGAGAGTTTTGTATATTATCTCCGTGGAGGATGAATTTGAATAGAGCATAAGCCAAAGATAGTGGGAATATTGTCATCATAGAAAAATGGGTAGGCAACAAAGTGAACAACAGAAGCAAAACCACTCTCTGAGGAGCAAAGCAGTCCACTTTGTCTCTGATCTCACCACCGTCTTTCTCAACCCCATCTCTGATAAACCCTCCAAGCCTACTCCTATTCCTCCTACCTCTGTAAGTCTCTCTCTCTCCATTCATTTGATTATAATTTTGTTGATTTTTATATCAATACACGTATTTTGTGTAGTCTTCCAATCGTAATAAGGGTTTTCTGATCAGGGTTTTGTTGTTCCTCGTTTTGTAGAGCTATCTGTCAATTCTTGAAGTTCATACTCTGGGAATTTGTCCTGGGTATCTTCAGTGTTTATTATTTTATCTGAAGAACGACTATTGAATTAGTATGGAGCTTTCGAAATATAATGCTGGAATTTTCAGAACGATTGTTTGGAATTATTTTGATATAATTTAGCCCATGATGGCTTTACATTAGGTGCTATTAGGGTTTTAATGCTCGATGTTTTTCGCAGGCATCTTTAATCATTTTTATTTATGCTGATATTACTAACTAATTAGAAAATTGGGTAAGCTTAACCCTGCATAATTGCCAATTGCAAGCCTAATTTCACCAATTGCCTTAGATGGGTTCATTTCAAAGAATGAATTTGAGAGTTTGTAGTCAAATTTTTCATTTCTCCCACTTTTTACTTTGTTATCTCTCTTCCTTTTCTGATAGGGAAAAATAGCTAATTATCCTGATTACTACTAAAGTTAAGTTAATTGTACAATGTATTTGGGTGTAATGGTCCATTAAAATTAGATGATGTAATTCCCACATGTAATTCAAAGAGTGTTAAGTCTTCATTTTAAGTTGAAAATCTTACAATACGCCCCTTATCACCCCTCTCTGCTCACTACATTCAGTTTTAATTGTCTGGTAACTTTTCGAACTTATAAGTAGTGGTCTTGTCTCTTGTATTTTGCTAGGATGATGAGACTGAGCCAAAAAGAAGTCAAGTAGAATCGATTTCAGAGGATGATTATGGGGATTTAGTTGATGGGCCTGATACATCTTCTTTTACTGCATTTCTCTATTCTCTACTGTCATCCTCAGAATCTGGAAGTAAATCAAACTTCGAGGGACTGAATGAGTATCAAGCAGATAGTCAACTGACGTCTGAAGTTATAATGAAAGAAAATAGTGGGAAGAAGAGTTTATTTTCGAGGGGCAAACAGTCCCTTGGAAGAGCTATTTACCAGGCTGCTAGATTAGGTGGGTATCGACATCAAGCCTCAGCCAAGGGCAGTTCTGATATGATGCTCGATGACAGCAATAATTCTAAGTTTTCTGAAGATGAGGGTATTGATATGCAAACTTTGAATGAACCTGTGCCTTTGGACAATCTTCCAGAAACTTCTGAACCCTCATTGCTTCTGTCTGAGAAGACACGCGGTGCTCTTTATGATGCACTACCAGCACTAGCTCAGGGGAGGAAATGGGTATTGCTATACAGGTATCACAACATGAATTGTTCGTTATGAATTGTATGTGAATCTTTTGCATTATGGGTTTCCATTAGTTTTGATATCATTTGACTGTTGGTAACTCTTTTAATCTGTCTATTATCCTCTGCAGTACATGGAGGCATGGCATTTCACTTTCTACTTTGTATAGAAGAAGCATGTTTTGCCCAGGCCTCTCTCTGCTGGTAAATTCTTTATCTCTACATCTATCAATGACTTGTGTGTTTTTTGTTTATGACGATGCATCTGAAAACAAAATATTATTTTCCTTTGAAGCACTAATGATATACTGTTCCCTTGGATGTCATAAACTTATTTTTTTCTCGTCTTTTCGATTTCGAAGTCAATTTGAAATGTCGGTATGTCACTCAGAGCTAATGGATGTCACTCTATATTCTTTTCTCATCTTTTCGTTTTCGAAGTCAATTTGAAATGTCAGTATGTCACTACGAGCTAATGGATGTCACTCTCTATTCCTTGTAAGATAATACTTCCTTTTGGAGTAATCAAAAGCACAAATAATGGAAATGATTCATATTTGCTGAATTATGTGAGTAACCCTTTGTTTTGCAAGTTACTTGAAACAAAATAAACATGTGCTTGTTATTTTCATTTAGAGGGTATTATTACATGCTTAAATGTAATAATAAAAAATAAAAATAAAAAGGGTATTATTACATATCCTATTTAATCTGAGCTACCCTGGAGCAGGTTCAAGCCACTTCTGGTAAGCTGGAGTAATACCTGAATTTTCCACTATCATAATGCTGTAAGAATCTGAAATCCTGACTTTGTCATAGTGCCCTGACCATGGATGCGAACAAACAGTCATGTTACATGATTATGCAGTCTATATGTCGAAACTTGCAGTATTTGAAATAATGTGCTTTGTATGTATTCCCTTTCCACATACCAAATGGGTTATCAGTCTCCCCTGCAGCACTATGTTGTTGTTTATAGCCACAACAATGATTCTGGTTCCCATGACTGTAAGAGCTTTGTGTAATTTTTATTATTTGTAGTATTGCTGATCAATTGTTCTGAGCGTTCGTGTAGCGAGTCTTGGGATGAACAATAGAGAAATCAACGAATCTGCGTTTGTACAAAAACTGGCTGTCTGAATAATCCAGGTGTTACCAATCACACTTCATTAGCCTTCAAATTTTATGCTATAAAAGTGGGAGTTCAAATTCAGTTGGTTAATGAGGTCAAATTTTCCAATCAGTACTCTGATTAGATGGGATGATAAGAATAAAGTCTACCCCACTAAGTGNCACTCTCTATTCCTTGTAAGATAATACTTCCTTTTGGAGTAATCAAAAGCACAAATAATGGAAATGATTCATATTTGCTGAATTATGTGAGTAACCCTTTGTTTTGCAAGTTACTTGAAACAAAATAAACATGTGCTTGTTATTTTCATTTAGAGGGTATTATTACATGCTTAAATGTAATAATAAAAAAAAAATAAAAAGGGTATTATTACATATCCTATTTAATCTGAGCTGCNGCTTGTTATTTTCATTTAGAGGGTATTATTACATGCTTAAATGTAATAATAAAAAATAAAAATAAAAAGGGTATTATTACATATCCTATTTAATCTGAGCTACNGTTTATAGAGGAGAAAGTCATGTTTCTCATGGCTGGTTCTACAAAAATCACAACACTGACCAACTTGCATTTAAGAATTAGAAGCGTATTAAAATGCATTTTGAGCTTTTAATGCAGTATGCAAGCATCAGCTTTGTGCTGGCTTTAACTATCTCATGTTGGTAGGCAGTTTCTCCCTGCCTTGCCAGGATCAAATCTCTGTAACAGTTAATGACTGATTATGTATGTGCATTGTTATTTTTTTTCTCTTTTCCAAGTGCTACAGCAGAACATTGTAATACTCTTTGTCTGGGGGATATTTGAGGCCAAAATTGCACCACTTAATTGTTTCCCAAGCAATCCTTTCTGCATGATCTCTATTCTAATGCCTATGAAATTTTGACTCGTATATTTATGGGAAAAAATATTGAGACAAAACTTTGTTGAGTTGTAGTAGTAGTTGAGTTGAGTTGAGTANACCCTGGAGCAGGTTCAAGCCACTTCTGGTAAGCTGGAGTAATACCTGAATTTTCCACTATCATAATGCTGTAAGAATCTGAAATCCTGACTTTGTCATAGTGCCCTGACCATGGATGCGAACAAACAGTCATGTTACATGATTATGCAGTCTATATGTCGAAACTTGCAGTATTTGAAATAATGTGCTTTGTATGTATTCCCTTTCCACATACCAAATGGGTTATCAGTCTCCCCTGCAGCACTATGTTGTTGTTTATAGCCACAACAATGATTCTGGTTCCCATGACTGTAAGAGCTTTGTGTAATTTTTATTATTTGTAGTATTGCTGATCAATTGTTCTGAGCGTTCGTGTAGCGAGTCTTGGGATGAACAATAGAGAAATCAACGAATCTGCGTTTGTACAAAAACTGGCTGTCTGAATAATCCAGGTGTTACCAATCACACTTCATTANTATATTTTATGGAAAATTACTGCAAACATTAACATCGCAAGGGTTGGTTGTGATTATAGAGGTATTCCATCAGGTTGAAATTCTTATTAATAATGGGTGCAAAATGGAGGGATAAGAAAAGGAAAATACACGATAAATCTAAAAACTATTGGGTAAATTAAAAACCAATGCCCCAAACTCATATGTTTTGTTTGTAGTATTTGATCCGTAGAGTGATCATCCGCCAGTCCTGAAAGGGTTCTGGATTTTTCTTCTTTTTTTTTTTGGGGTTTTTAGGTTACTAGGTTTGTTCTATTTTTCTTATTGACATATTTGTTGGATCTGATGACTATGTGTAATCAGGCGTGAACCGCTATTTCACTTTGTGCTCCACTGACTATCTGGCATTGGGTGGGGGTGGTCACTTTGCACTCTATTTGGATGGTGATTTGTAAGAGTTATACTCCCTTTTCTAGCTAGTTTCTTCTCCTAGTTTTCCTGATACGTCTTAGCCATTTATATTTGCCATCAAACATAGTGAAGGCACGCTAACAAATGCTTTTGTGTTGTCTAATTTTAATTTTACTTGCAAAGAATGAATGGTTCAAGTTCAGCCTCAGAAACTTATGGGAACCCTTGTTTGGCACACACTGATGAATTTGAAGTGAAGGAAATTGAGGTATTTACGGAGCTCTTGCATACATACACACTCTCTCTCTCTCCCTCTCTCAAGCGTGGGACACATATAGGAATAGTTGACCATCATGCTATTTCTTGCAGTTGTGGGGATTCATACATGCTTCCAAGTATGAAGAGATGGTTTCTTTACTGCGGATGGACGCGCCAGGGATTAGCCGCTGGTAAATAATCTTGTAGCTTGAAACAGACTGCATTTGATTCTGATTATCAGTCACCTTGTATAGTCATAAGCTTGACACTGGTCGCCACCTATCAACTGAAGATGGAAAGGATCATTATATATGTTTTTTTTTTTGTTACACTTTTATAGTCAGGTCCTTGGCCGTTTTTGGTTACTTATATGAAATAACTAGCACCAATTTTGTGAGTAGGTCTGAAAAAATTGTGGTCAGTTAGTGGAAATTAACGAGGGAAGACTTCGATTGGTTTTTTTTTTTTATTGTTATTGATAATAGATAATCATCTCATTGTTTGATAAATAAATTAGCTCGTGCAGTTTGTTGGAGCACATTGATGGATAATACGTGTAGAGAACTACTTAATTTCTTGTGTTTTCAGTAGCAAATGTTGTGAAAACAGTTTGGCCGCTTTGGCTCATGCCTGAAGAGAGAGGGAGAGAGTTGTGCAGGAGTGATGAAAACGTTCAACCAAATGATTTCTAATTTGGTATACCTTTGTAGGCTTGGTCTTCCACCATATTACAGTGATGAAGGNGGAGTGATGAAAACGTTCAACCAAATGATTTCTAATTTGGTATACCTTTGTAGGCTCGGTCTTCCACCATATTAAAGTGATGAAAGAAGAGCCCATCAGGCCAACCCAAGTTGTATACCCTCGATATGTTAAAATTCAATTTGATTGTGATTCGAATGCAATTAGATGGTATGTTAACCAAATGTCTCTATCAACTCAATCTAGAAAAGGAATAGACTGTTGTGAACTCTGGCGAAAGGCCACGTATGATCTGTGAGAGGTTAAGGTTGTTGGCTTGACTATGGTCCATGATATTTTGATGGGACATTGGCCTTCCCTACCACGGTTCACTATACGTTTCTTTAGTTATAGACGTGTACAATTCAATAATAGCCTGTCACACATAATACAAGAAAGTTCGGTGAATTTTTTCATACGACAATCCTGCGATTTAAATTGGAATTGGATTTCAATCTATTCACAAAGCTTAGATGGGACTTGGGAGTTCCAAACATATTTGATTGAGTTGAAAATCTATTAATGTAGTTGTAGCTCAGTTTAAAGATATATGATGCAATGTACCTAAAATTCCCTATATATCGGTCGCAAGAGTGCAAGTTGTTTCTAATGCTACTTGGGTGGGGTGCCGTGCTTGTGTTGCTTCATCGACCTACCTTAGGCTACCCTATTAAGGAAAGACTGAAATTTCGCTTAGTGTATAATTTTGGATAGTGCAAAAAATAAAAATGTTTCGAAAATATTTCATGAACATTTTCGTAATTGAAAGTGAAAAAAACTAAAAGTTTGTTTTTGACATATTTTGTATGAATGGCCAAATATTTTGAGAGATTTAAAACGCGTTGAAATATAAAAATTTTAAAATTGATCGGTTAACGAAGAGTTTGTGAGAAGATTGACAAGATAAAAAAAACATTATCTTTCCGATGATTAAACCAACCTCCAAAAAGCGATACATATCAAATTGGCGACCAAACCTGTTAAACATCAACAAACATACATCAAACAGAGAGAGAGAGAGAGAGAGAGAGAGTATGATGATGAAAGAGAGAAAGAAGAAAAAAATTATGTCAATAGATACTCAAATTCAAATATTGAGTAAAAAAGTCAAATTCTTGTCTACCAAATCACCCTTTCGGTGATCTCTTGGAGATATTGCAAGGAATGACAATGTGAGGGGCTTTGTGAAAAATAAACTTTGACCAAATGAAAAAATAATAATTTAATTAATACGAGTTAGTTTAATAGTTGAACAAGGGCAAGAAATGAATTCAAATATTTTCTAAACACTTAAACATCAGGTTAGTCAATAAACGGATGGATTACATGTATTCGCGGCTTTCTATGAGTTTAAATAATGTGAAGTTTGGACGGTTATACAAAAAAATTTATTGGGGGTAAAATATAAAAAATTTAATTTTAAGGGTATAAAATAAAATTTTAAAATTTTTGGAGGTGGAAAGTGCAATTATTCCCCTTCCCAACACCATAATGAGTCGTTGCCACGACGTCGTCTCAAAGGCCATCTCTTTCCTTGCAAGGACCACGAGCATCTGGAAAAGCATGTATACAGTGGACAGGTCCAATAAATCAGGCTCAGTCCAATCTAACAACAAAAATCAGAAGAAATTCGAGTCTCCCTCTGGTCGCACATTAATGGCGGCGACCAAATCCAAAGCTTCAAAACCGAGCTCAGATGGCACAAACCCCAAGGTCTGGCTCTATTCCTTGTTGCTCACGCTTCAGTACGGTGCTCAGCCGCTCATCTCTAAAAGTTGCATTGGGTAATGTTTCATAAACCGAACCTTGATCGTCTCAATTACCTCAGAAACAATGGCGTTCGATTCGTAATCAATTGATTGCGTTGCTTTAATTTGTGCATTTCAGTTTACTGTAAGTGCGATTTCAAATTGCTTGCTGATTATGCGCATGCATTTTAGGTTACTTCAATACATTAGAATTGTGAATTAACTGAAAATGGTGATTTAGTCGGGATTTTTACTTGATATGATCATATTTCGGTTTTTTTTTTAAGACTGCTAAACATTGCACCACGTAATTTTTCATCAATTAAGCGTGATCATCTTAAGTTGCCATAGAAACGGTAGTGTTCTCTTTGTAATCGATTGATTGCGTTGTTTTACTTCGTACATTTCATTTTACTGTAAGTGTGATTTCTAATTGCTTGCTGATTATGCTTATGCATTGGCGCTCACGGTTAGAAATTTCAAAATTATGAATTGAACTAGTACAAATAAAATTATGAATTGACTGAAAATGGAGATTTAGTCTCGGTTTTTTATTTAAAATGATCATATTATGACTTCCTTTTTTTTTTCTGGGATTGCGTTGTCAAATGACTGGGTGGGATTGAGTTAGGTGGGAACAACTAACAAGTTATATAGTCTGATTAATCATTGAAAGAAAGCCATGTGTGAGCAATGTAAGTAGGTGTGTTGGCTAACACCCGTGAGGTGGTGTTTTTAAAGAGTAATGCTAGATAGACTTAAAAACTAGATTTGATAATCTCAACTATTGAATAGGTAGTATGTCCCAATAAATGTTGGGACTCACAGTGAAATCAATAGTCGTAATTATCAAGTCTAATTTTTAAGTCTACTTTTTAAATCCATGTAGCATTACTCTTNAACTATTGAATAGGTAGTATGTCCCAATAAATGTTGGGACTCACAGTGAAATCAATGGTCGTAATTATCAAGTCTAATTTTTAAGTCTACTTTTTAAATCCATGTAGCATTACTCGTTTTCAAATATTAGGACAGCAATTTGTGCAATTAATGAAACTGGAGAGATCTCTACCTACTCCATCCCTCCCCAAACCCTAATTGCCTATTTATTTTTATGCCCATGTTGCAACTCAATTGTTGTTATGAACACACGTACCTAGTCCATTCATTACTCCGACATTCTCTCATTGAAGATGCAATTTGGTTTTAGAACTTTCCTTTAGAGAACTCTACAGAATTATTAGTTCAGATCTTGCTTCATTCTGTTATTTGGTTCAAAAATAGACCCGCATAGTGCTGGCCTTAAAAAAGATGGATGTTTGTCTCATTCTCCAATGTTTACTTCAGTCTAGGAGAAAGTGACTTTACCAGAGAAATCATCTTGCTAGATGGTGTAATGGTTGGTGACGGCTTGTTTTCAAGGACATAAGAAACAATATACCCTTTACGACGAATTTATTAATTTTTTGCATTGCTGAAATATTTTGCACCAAAGCTAATCGAGTATAATAGGAGGAAAACAGGCTTGGAATGTGGGAATGAGTATGGGGGAATTTTGTGTTTCTACATGGTGGCTTTCTTCCATGCATTCGTTTATTTCCTTGTCTCAGAAAGAGGCTAGTTGATTTGCAGCTAGAGATACTAAGTTGGTGTAAGAATTTGACCAAGGTACTTATTAAGGGGAAATTCCTTTTAGAAAGACAGTGAAAGTGTGGTTTTGATCAAACTATTATTTGCATTAAAGTTATTGGATCTGAATTGGGTTGGTTTATGAAAAGTTTGGTTGACTTTTTAAGGTTTTGAGAAGTGTTTCTATCAAAGTTGCTTGTGATATTTAGTTGATAATGAATTTTACCCTGGCGGAATTTGTGCAAATGTATAACTAAATGTGAGTTGCATGGATTAAGCCCGTTTAGACGGCAGGTTTGAGCTTGTTTGTAGTTACAGCAAGGATCCATATAAATGGTCCTGCTTGCTTTGTACAGTCTTGGCTCCAAAATTTGTTGCTAAATCATCTCAAGGAAACTTAATTTTGATTTCCACCATTTCAATAATGTCATATTTGTGCGAGACTTGGATACTATGCCAGTGCACATTATGTCCTTATTCATTTTTTTCATTAGTTCATCATGTTGTACGTTGTGTATACATTTTTGAACACTAAGTGTGTCAAATTAATATTGAAATGTACTCCGAAATAAGTTGCTGTGTAGTGCAACACTAAATATACTGTCATTATGTTCTTGTTGTGTATTGCTCTTACAGCTGGTCCAGCAAGTTTTTCACTGCAAACTAACTAGCACTTCGAACCCAATAAGTTGTTAACCTCTAGGTGTATGAAACTTAAGATCACTAATTCAAATATTTCTCTTCATATTACACAGAATATCTTAAATTAACCATGGATGTTTTGAATGATTAGTTCTACTTGTTTCTGCATATTTACTTCCATGAAAACACTGCTTCCATTATTTCTACTGCCTAGCTTCCTTAAATAGGTTTTGGGGCACCGAACAAGAGAAGAGTAGTTTTGTATTGCTTGCTTCTGTAGCCTTTTACAGTAACTAAATACAGGAAGAATTGTTTCTTGATAAATGACCCCCCTATATTGCCAGTTCTAAACATACTCTGTAATTTTCCCTGCAGACGTGAAGTGATTGTGACTTCATCTGTATTGACATGCGAGGTAGTAAAGGTAATTCTTCTTCGTCGTCTTCTTCCTCTTCTTTTTATCTTCTCCTCAGTCTACAATTTTTGGTTCCACATATGTCTACAAACTAAAGCATTTCATATGATTTGTAGGTCATGTGTGCTTTTATTCTCATGGCAAAAGAAGGTAGTTTGAAGAAAGTATTCAAGGAATGGACTTTGGTTGGCTCATTGACTGCATCAGGATTGCCTGCAGCTATCTATGCACTTCAAAATAGCTTGTTGCAGATTTCATACAAGAATCTTGATTCACTCACATTTTCAATGCTGAACCAGACAAAACTATTTTTCACTGCTTTGTTTACATATATGATCTTGAGGTATTTTTTCACTTCTCATTAAAAAGTGTTACACATAGGATTCAAGAGACACTCTTTTTTGTAAAATCCTTGCTAGGATTGCACTCCTTGTATTGGCCTATCAGTCTAAATGTCTAAAATAGCCTCTGGATCACAAGTGTTCTTGTTTGGTTACTAGGTCCATTTATTGTTCCCTGGAGTGTTGTGTGAACTATTACCCAACTTCGTTGGGACCTTTAATATTTTGGGGATACATAATAACAATGAAGCCTCTGGTGCAGTTGATTATGTTAGTATGCTGCCCTTAACCTACCACCTGGCTAGTGTTGTAGCAAGGTTCCTTTGTTTTTCTCAACTAAGCTGCATTTTCCCTTTTCTGAAGTTCCTATTATGGAGTGTCCACATTCAAGGTGTTAGTTCCATACCTCGTTATTTGAATTTCATTTTTTTCCTGAACACCGCACTCAAAAAAATTGTGTGACAGTCATTGTAAAACTGTTTTACTGTAATATTATCCGATAACTGTGTAGTGAGGCCATGTCTTGCCATGAATAAAACTAGACAACTCTGTTTTTCTGAAGTTCATCCTGAGAATGCTGTAGCTGCAGTTATTGAGTGTACCCTGTTTCTTTTCTGGGTTCAATTTATAGGCAGAAGCAATCAATTCAACAGATTGGGGCATTATGCTTGTTGATAATTGCTGCAGTTCTTCTAAGCATTGGTGAAGGATCCAGCAAAGGTCCTGGTAGTAGTAACCCTGATGAAGTTTTATTCTATGGAATTATTCCTGTGTTAGTAGCTTCTGTACTCTCTGGTCTGGCTTCTGCACTGTGTCAATGGGCTTCTCAGGTTAGCAAAAGTTGTCTGTATCTCTGATCTGAGCAAATATTTTTTATGCTGTCCTAATTGTTTCTCCTTCCATATATTCTTCTTTTTATTACAGGTAAAGAAACGTGCATCATACTTGATGACGGTAGAGATGTCTATAGTTGGGACCCTATGCCTTCTCGCTAGTACTTACAAGTCTCCAGATGGAGAAGCTATCAGACAGCATGGATTTTTTTATGGCTGGACTCCACTAACCTTGGTAATTAGCTTTGTTTAGCATTTGTTGCTATTGGACGTTATGATAGTTAGACTCAGCTGCTATCAGATGAAGTTGCACCTGTACAAGAATGAAGCCCACCATAAACATTTAAGTTCATAGTCTTAAAGCACTTTGCATTAAGAAAGGAAAAATAGTAGCTATCCTGAAGATCCTGTGGATGGTTAAAACTTTATGTGACCTGGTCTAGTTTAAAATAAGAATCTTCATTAGTACGATAAAAAAGGAAACTTCATCACATGATCAATGGTTTTATGATTTGAGGTAAATAATGATTGAGAAAGTGGTCAGGATGACTTTCCTTCTTCCATTGTGCTCCGTTTTAAAATGAAGATGTGTGTTATTATTCTGAAGTTTTCATTGTGGTGCACAGCTACACGTATGATGCTTCTTTTTTTGTTAAAATGAATCTAACTGATGGCAAAATTTTTGACTTTCGGATGATTCAACTTCAAACGTATTAGTTTTCTCTGTTGCAGGTCCCTGTTATGATCAATGCTGTTGGTGGAATTCTTGTCGGCCTAGTGACATCTTATGCTGGTGGTGTTCGAAAGGCAAGTCTGGCACCCTAGCTATAGATGACGTTATAAGATACAATATACAAAATTATGGAACATTGGGTCAGAACAGCTCAAAATGTGCTTTTGTGCCATAAATCAATTGGCCAATAAAAAAACCACGTTCTTAAGTTTTTGACGCCAATGTTTGTGTAAAGTTTAGAGAACTTCCTTGTTTTTGGAACCCAAGGTTTTTGAATCTTGCCTTTGGGCTGTAGAGAGCAAGAAAGCACTTTCAAAAGCAAGAGCGTCACTGGCTTAATCCTTTTGTTATAATCTGATTGCAACATTAAAAAAGAAAATCCAAGCGCCTGATGCATTGTCTAAGTGACACATGTATTGTAATCTTTTTAAGGTCAACTGAACACCTTTCTAATGTTAGTGGCCCGGTAGCCTTGTAGTGGATCATTTCTTGCATTCTAATATTGATTTCTATTGAACAAGATTGTTGTACAGTTTGCTTTACCGTTGTAGAATTTTTATAATCTTCGATTATTTTAAAACATTTGGAAATGCATGCAGGGATTTGTCATCGTGTCAGCACTTCTTGTCACAGCCTTACTGCAATTCATCTTCGATGGAAAACCACCTTCATTGTATTGCCTTGTGGCTCTTCCACTTGTGATGACTAGCATCTCCATATACCAAAAATACCCATACCGTGTGACAAAGAAGGAGTCGTAGACCATGAATGTCAACACAGTGGGAGAGGGAGATTTTTTCTTGACACCCACCAACTTTTCATGGAGGGTGGACGGTAATTGAAATTTTTACAAGTGTATGCTGATACCTCATAGCTTAGGGAATTAAGAAAGGATTCTTTACTTCCTTTCACCCCACTTATCCGAATTGGAGGTGTATATTGGATTGTTTTAAGATTCATACGGTTTAGTACACGCATGTACTATATTCTTGAACGNTAAGAAAGGATTCTTTACTTCCTTTCACCCCACTTATCCGAATTGGAGGTGTATATCGGATTGTTTTAAGATTCATACGGTTTAGTACACGCATGTACTATATTCTTGAACGCATTGTACTGCTGCCTAGTTGAGGACTGGAACTATTTGAATCAACCTGCATTGTCCTTATATGAGAATACAGGGGGATAAAGCAATGTAATTCATGTGCATTTTGCTCTGGTGCACGCCATGCTGAATTCATAGGGCTTGTGATGTGAGGTAGCCTTTGCAATCTGTTGATACAATTGAGCAGGGGCTTCAGTGGGGTCGTTGGTTGTACGTAGTGCACAAGTTTCGTGTCTATGGCAGTGTTTGGAAGAGGTAAGTCGTAAGGTAATTTTATTTTCATTTTGAAGAGGCTTATTTCGCATACTATTTAACCCATCAAGGTTGTATTGCAAATTCTAGAGGCAAACTAATCATTCCAAACTCTAGAGACAAACTAGTCATTCCAAAAATCATTCGTAAATCACTAGTGAGATGAGTCAAATTTGAGATCTAGGGATAAAAATTCCAAAATCTTTCAGTTATGTTACTTTTTAATATTGTTTTCCTTTTTATTATTCATCTGGAAAGTTATTTGTACTACCGGGGCAATTAGTTTTTATCTAATTTATATAAATGGTATTAATAAGAGTAGTATTTGATCTTATGTTTTGTGTAATAAATTTGGATCAAGGTTGGTATATGGTATAAATCTATAATTATAATATCAAATATATGTTTGGATTAGTAAATTGAAATGACAAAACAAATATTGAGGACAATAGTCTACATAAGGTGTACTTTTGTATGAAGATGTGAATCTAGGTTTATAAGGGTAATAAAGTTATTGGTGTTTTTAATACTAAANTAGTCTACATAAGGTGTACTTTTGTATGAAGATGTGAATCTAGGTTTATAAGGGTAATAAAGTTATTGGTGTTTTTAATACTAAATTTTTTAAAAATAATATAATCTATCACGTGGTATTCATTTTTATTTTTATTTTTTTTGGGAGGAAAAACTAGAATTTTTAACTTTAAAAACGTAAAATTTTTACAAAATAAGAAATATCATTAGACCAAATGTTCATTACTATTTATTAATGTATAATATCAAGTGTTAAAAGACAATAGTAAACCGGGTCGAGGTTAATGAGAAATTAATATTGGGTTGTTATAATTTAATCCAAACTTAGTATTACAACATCACCAAATTAAATTAATGATAATTTAATCTAATCTCTTAATACCAAAACTAAACATGCCCAATGTAGTAGTTCCCTGCGATACAAAATCGCATATAGGCGCGACTGTGATGAGATGTTAGGGTGTCTGAAGGATAAATCCCAAACTGTTAAAAAANAATCTAATCTCTTAATACCAAAACTAAACATGCCCAATGTAGTAGTTCCCTGCGATACAAAATCGCATATCGGCGCGACTGTGATGAGATGCTAGGGTGTCTGAAGGATAAATCCCAAACTGTTAAAAAAAAAAAAGAGGTATAAATCCCATATATAGTTAGTTTGGTTATTTTTAATAGGAGGACGCAAACCAAAAGAAAAATAACATATTAGAATTGACCGGTTATTGTCACAAACTAAAAAATGACATCATTTGTTAATATGATTTATAAGCTAGTCCGATCAGTGTCTAACACAGATAACTTGAATTTGATATTATTAACATGTTTAATTAGTATTGTATGAATTTTGAGTTAATATTGACATGAATCCATGCGATAGTCACGACATCTGACAAAATTAATTAAATTTATTATATTTTAGTTAATTAGCACTTGATAAAGAGTTCAAAATGATACAATTTAAATGCCATAACAGACAAATCAATTGTCACTCCTAAATATTTGGTGAACTATTTAAAATAAATTTTATATACAAAATATTTTTGATAGGTATATAAAATATCAGATTGAATTATAGAGGTTTAATCTAGTATAATTCTGTAATTTATNTTTAATTAGTATTGTATGAATTTTGAGTTAATATTGACATGAATCCATGCGATAGTAAATAAGTCGAGTTAGTATCACGACATCCGACATAATTAATTAAATGTATTATATTTTAGTTAATTAGCACTTGATAAAGAGTTCCAAATGATACAATTTAAATGCTATAGGAGACAAATCAATTGTCACTCCTAAATATTTGGTGAACTATTTAAAATAAATTTTGTATACAAAATATTTTTGATAGGTAAATAAAATATAAGATTGAATTATAGAGGTTTAATCTATTATAATTCTGTAATTTTTNATAAATTTTATATACAAAATATTTTTGATAGGTATATAAAATATCAGATTGAATTATAGAGGTTTAATCTAGTATAATTCTGTAATTTATTTTTTAATACTGTAATTAATTAAAATATCAATATATTATATTATAATTAATTAGCATTGCTTTTGATTCAAACACTCTACTCTACAAGTAAATATAGGGTATAACCATATTGTTGACATGATATAATTATTTAATAAAAAAAATAATAAAATAAAATTTATTTTTTATTATAAAAATGGTTATATATTACGTAATTGAATGGTTACGAAGTTTAGTGATCTATTTATTAACTTATTTACCTATTAAAGAATAATTGGGGTATAGACCGCCCAATTTTTTTTATTTTTTATTTTCCAGCTCTGCGACTCTCAAATCTCAATTGACATCCCTAAATTATATTGTGCCCACCAGCCTAAGAGAGNTGGTTATATATTACGTAATTGAATGGTTACGAAGTTTAGTGATCTATTTATTAACTCATTTACCTATTAAAGAATAATTGGGTCCCAATTTTTTTTATTTTTTTTTCCAGCTCTGCGACTCTCAAATCTCAATTGACATCCCTAAATTATATTGTGCCCACCAGCCTAAGAGAGAGCCCCCAGCAAACTTCAGTGAATTTGCAGAGACGAAGAAAGAAGAAGATGGGAAGTAGACTGGGAAGAAGAGTTGTTCATTTTGCTAACCTCCCCATTAAGCTTCTCATGCCCTCTTCCTTCACCAACATCTCCGAAATCGCACTCAAAACAATACCCTCTGCTTCCAAGGTAACAATGCATACTTAAATTTCCTATTCCTAGAAGTTCAAACGATCTTAATCTCATTTTTTTTTAATTGTTACTCTTTAATTTGCTGCGAGGATTGAAATGGAAAGGGTATTGGGATCACCATNGCATACTTAAATTTCCTATTCCTAGAAGTTCAAACGATCTTAATCTCATTTTTTTTAATTGTTACTCTTTAATTTGCTGCGAGGATTGAAATGGAAAGGGTATTGGGATCACCATATTGTTTCGAAGTGGAAAAACTTCAGATTTAATACCTCTATGTCCATGCGATCTTAAGCTCATTTTTTTTTTAACTTTTATTGTTTAATTTCCTGCGAAGATCGAAATCAAGAGGGTATTGGAGTCACTGTACGGTTTCGAAGTGGGAAAAGTTCATAACCTATTCCTATATTTTCAAACGATTTTAATCTCTCTCTCTCTCTCTTGAATTAGTACTCTTTAATTTCCTTTGAAGATTGAAATCAAGAGAATATTTGGGTCACCGTATGATTTCGGAGTGGAAAAAGTTTATATCTTATTCCTATAGGCTCATACGATGTTAAGCTCATTTTCTTTTAATACTTACTGTGTAATTTCATTTGAAGATTGAAATCAAGAGGGTATTGGAGTCACTGTATGGTTTCGAAGTGGAAAAAGTCCGAACCCTAAACATGGATGGCAAGAAGAAGAAGAGAGGCGGACTCTTGATTGCGAAACCGGATTACAAGAAGGCATATGTGACTCTCAAAAACCCTTTATCAATTTCTCCTGATCTGTACCCTATTCGAATAATCGAAGAAGATAAGCAAAACATGAAGAAGCAGGCGAAATCAAGCATTGTTGAAGACGGAGAAGCGAAGAAGTCACATTGGCTTGAGAGTAAGGATGGTGGAAAGTTTAAGCCCGAGACGGGTTTCCATGGTGTAGATCGGGGTGGTGCTAGGTTTCCGTGGAGCAGCATGCGCTCTTCGTCTTCTAGGTAGTTTGGATTGTGCTAGAATATGAGAATTTGATTAGCTGTTTTGGTTATTGGTATTACCTGTTTGATAATTGATTTCAGTGAGTTAATGATGTTGGGACTTGAGAATAGTGTTAGATAATTGCCAAAAATGTGGTTATATTTGATGCACGAGTATGAAAATTACAAAAGTTCTTTTGTTTTTTGTTGTTTGATTGACAAAATATGTTCTAATGGGGTTATGTTAATATAGCTTTTGAAATTTGATTTTGTTGTGACTCTTGATTTGGCCATTGGATTAGTTTTAGGTATACATGTTAATGTAAGGTGACGGTATTGAGAGTGTATGCAATCGTTAATCATTCTTTTGATGTCTTCTGATGGTTAGATTTAAGCTTCCGAGGTCCTTTGGATGTTTTCTTTATATAAAACAACTTTCATCCAAATTAGAAATACAAGTTGGTGGACAAGAATTCCAACATAATATGAATAAAAACGGAACAACTGAAAATCCCTATAGTGAAGGTTCCAAAAGAAAGGGATATCCTGAATCTCATTTCGATTGGTCATTGCTAGTTGACAGTAAGTAATAAAATGGTTGTTTTTTTTCTCTGTTTGGAAAATCTATCCATTGTGGTGCCTAAGCATGACAAATTACTTGAGTTTGCTAGATTTGTCATGGTTACTGATGGTTAATTGGGGTTTTTGTCACGTTGATTGTTGAAATCTTTTTCAATGGATTTCTGGATTGAACTTTGGATCAAATGCAAGGGAGCAAACCTCTGTGAAGCTTTGCTTCTATCAAAACATTCTATTTGGATCTATACTAAGTGTTGGTATTGTATTCTAGTATTATGTTCATATGTCTATGAGTAGATTCTTAGTTACTTTCCAGCATGAGATACCAGCTTTTTTGAGCTGTTATAGAACTCTGTGGCCAAATGAGTTTCCAAGATAATTGAGGTATTGATTGGGTTGATATGGGATATCAGTCCTTTTTTGAATCATCATTAGAAGTCAGAAGTAGAAAACTAAGAAAAGGATTGGTGCTTGAACCTAGACAAAAATCAAAGAGTGGCGGGATAGAATTATATGCGATGAGTGCCTCACTCTGTCCGTTGTGGTAAATATATTTTTGGCATGCCAGGATTCCTTGTCTGCACGTGTCACTTTAAGGTTATGTGTCTCTTGGGTTTCATTTTGGTCAATCAGTCAATATCTTCCTTGTTTGGTGCTTCTGATTCTTTAACTTACTGAGGTTTAATTTTAGAAAGGTTTCCGGTAGACATGCATGTGGCCTGGACATCAATATGCAATCTTTTTTTTCCAGAGGTGTATAATATTGGCATGCATCGAGTAAAGTGGAACTGAGGTCAATTGTGGTATTATTAATTGAATTCTTGAGGTACATAGTTAGACTTCCGATGGAGATATTAAGACAAGAATCATTGTTATTTAACTATAGGAACTTTTTCCTGCTAAAGTTTGACCGAAAGACAAAGGTGAACACTCGCTTTGAAGCTGGGTGCACATTGTGTAAAAACGAAAAAAAATTACGTTTGTTGACGACTAACGTAGGAGAAGGTGCCAGGTGCAACTGGGGAGGTGAGTGTNGACCGAAAGACAAAGGTGAACACTCGCTTTGAAGCTGGGTGCACATTGTGTAAAAATGAAAAAAAATTACGTTTGTTGACGACTAATGTAGGAGAAGGTGCCAGGTGCAACTGGGGAGGTGAGTATGTTATTTTAATTCCCAGTTCATTGTATACTCAAACACATGTCCTAACTACAGCTCCTAATTTTATGTGATGGTTTGTTTATCTTATATCCAATTAACAGCCAGTCAACATAGTGCTAGGCTCGAGACAGTAACTATCATATAGAAAGACGATGACTGTGATGACATCTAACATTTTTGTCATGGCTTGAAAAATCAGTACTATGTTATGCATGAGTCTGTNTCCCAGTTCATTGTATACTCAAACACATGTCCTAACTACAGCTCCTAATTTTATGTGATGGTTTGTTTATCTTATATCCAATTAACAGCCAGTCAACATAGTGCTAGGCTCGAGACAGTAACTATCATATAGAAAGACGATGACTGTGATGACATCTAACATTTTTGTCACGGCTTGAAAAATCAGTATTATGTTATGCATGAGTCTATGTTGGACTTGTACAAAGATATGATTACTATTGATATGTATCCATGTTTGAGCTGATTTCTATAAGTAGGAAAAACTGTGGGTTTCTTAAGTCTGCTCACAAGTGAGAAGCCACAGTCGCAGGCAAGTAAACCACAATAGCTATGATCAGATACGCGTTCTNTATGTATCCATGTTTGAGCTGATTTCTATAAGTAGGAAAAACTGTGGGTTTCTTAAATCTGCTCACAAGTGAGAAGCCACAGTCGCAGGCAAGTAAACCACAATAGCTATGATCAGATACGCGTTATACATCAACCAGCCAACTTTGGAAGAAGATGGCTGTTTCCTGGATTTGGAATTTCTAGTGTAGATGTTGAATCTGATAAATCTCAGGAGATGGATTGCCTTCGGCGGATGGCTACTCTGTAGCCAGTGGGATTTGGTCTCTGTTGTTGTCCTTCATCAGTTTCATCCCCTTCTTGTACCTGCAAAAGAGCAGACTTCTTTATCTTCCTCCATCCAAAGGGCCAACTTGATATATTTCTTTGCTTCTTGTTTAGCTTTTCATATTCCTGCAGCAGCTCAGATTGGTCTTTCTGCAGCTCTGTCATTCTTATCTTTACATTCTCCAGTTCTGCTTTGAGGGTCTTGATCTCCTTCTTTGTAGATGAGCCGACACCTTCCTGGTCTGAGTTATCATCACTTGCTGCTTGATCTTTCCCTTGCATTGCCGCCCTCATTTTTACTTGCTCTGAAAACAAAACCTGCAAGTATTTGTTCTCTTCTTTAGGCAAGAATCTTTGTTTGGAAGGATGGTGAGCTGGTGAGCTCTAAAGACATGGGCTCCAAGGACTATGGTGGGTGCATGTGTGGAAATTTTTGGGGTTCGATACATCCACACTTTGTTTTATGGACTTTTCTGATCCATACGACATAAATGGGGGTCTCTTGAGTCTCGACAGAGTTAAAGGCATCATTTTTAGTATTATCAGCATAGTTTCCATTTAGTTAGGTTACAGTGTTTAAATATTTTTCAATTTGAGATGTATCTAAAATAATTGCATCAGTCTTCTGAAATATTGTTGACAACTCTGAGATCTGTAAAATATTAANCAAAGGGCCAACTTGATATATTTCTTTGCTTCTTGTTTAGCTTTTCATATTCCTGTTGCAGCTCAGATTGGTCTTTCTGCAGCTCTGTCATTCTTATCTTTACATTCTCCAGTTCTGCTTTGAGGGTCTTGATCTCCTTCTTTGTAGATGAGCCGACACCTTCCTGGTCTGAGTTATCATCACTTGCTGCTTGATCTTTCCCTTGCATTGCCGCCCTCATTTTTACTTGCTCTGAAAACAAAACCTGCAAGTATTTGTTTGGAAGGATGGTGAGCTGGTGAGCTCTAAAGACATGGGCTCCAAGGACTATGGTGGGTGCATGTGTGGAAATTTTTGGGGTTCGATACATCCACACTTTGTTTTATGGACTTTTCTGATCCATACGACGTAAATGGGGGTCTCTTGAGTCTCGACACAGTTAAAGGCATCATTTTTAGTATTATCAGCATAGTTTCCATTTAGTAAGGTTACAGTGTTTANGTAAATGGGGGTCTCTTGAGTCTCGACACAGTTAAAGGCATCATTTTTAGTATTATCAGCATAGTTTCCATTTAGTAAGGTTACAGTGTTTAAATATTTTTCAATTTGAGATGTATCTAGAACAATTGCATCAGTCTTCTGAAATATTGTTGACAACTCTGAGATCTGTAAAATATTAAAGCCTTTCTTGTTAGAGCTGCTGACATTTTATACTTTATGGTANAATTGCATCAGTCTTCTGAAATATTGTTGACAACTCTGAGATCTGTAAAATATTAAAGCCTTTCTTGTTAGAGCTGCTGACATTTTATACTTTATGGTAGACTTGAAGTTTGATTTTAACTCTGTTATACTTGCATCTAAATGGTCCAATTTATAATAGTTGCCCTCTTGTTAATTAAGAAAGTTTTGCTTCTTGGCTTTTCCTCAGCATTTTCATTCAATATGAAAGCCTATTATTATGGTGTTGTGGCACTGTGCTTATGGGTTCTGGTCTTATGACTTGAGACTGGTATCTATTCCATCTATTGTGTGCATGCTTATTTCAAATATAGATTTTGATACACAGTTGGTTAATAAACTCCCAATTACTATAAAGGCGCTAAAATTTAGGTGTTTTCCAAAAGATATTACGAGAAAGGGTTCAATGAATGCTGCAGTTCAAGATGCATAGCTTCCACTATCTTGAAAAGGCAAAATCCTACATTTCCGAAAATCCTACATTAGAGGTATGGGTTGCAAGGAGAGGTTTATACTGAACGCTTCCCTTGAATGGGATCATCAGANTTCCGAAAATCCTACATTAGAGGTATGGGTTGCAAGGAGAGGTTTATACTGAACGCTTCCCTTGAATGGGATCATCAGATGATCGTAGTATCGTCTGTGTCATCTTATTGTCTGTACCTTTGGTTTAAAGCAAACTCTTCAGAAGTTCCTTAATATGATATAGTTGTTGCTTGATTTCTCCCCTTCAAATTTTTGTGCTATAATTTAGAAAATATTAAAGTAGCTAATATATATGAAAAGCTCAACAGGCACATGGTTGGTTGCTTGTATCTTAAGGACTTATTTTAATTTTTTGCAGTTTGAAGTATGTAAATTAAGCTTCTGTGTATCGCAGAGAGATGCTATTATAAATTGAAATTTCAGAATGCTCATGAATTTCACCTGTATCACAGTTCTTAGAGGCAATCGATCATTTTGTGCAGCATGCGTGCATGCATCAAGTGACAGCTTCTCGCAGTCCATGACTTTGCATAGCCTTCTTCTGTCATGTTCGGATAGTGAAGGATGAGTCTGTAGAGAAGATGAGAAAATTAGGCTTCATGTTGTTTGGTAGACAAAATCGTGAAGCAAGGAACTAAATGTTGTTTTGAAATGGCTAAAATGATTTGTTTCCATGGGAACCGAACTGAATTAATGATTGAAAATCGAAATTCCTATATTTCAATGTGTTTCAGTATGTTCTAACATGATTCGGTATGTTTTGATATTGAAACTATGCCCCGAAACGGGATTTTGATCCTTTCTGTGAAGTGCACAAATAATGGGAATGTTGACAGATACCTTGAGGTAAATATCAATGGCTCTATAGAGGCCATCATCACATGTCCGAGAATTCTCTGGCAATGCTTCAGCCAAAACTTGAAACTTGGTGATGGAGAGATTGGGGTCCTTTGCTATTTCTGCAAGGTAATTGTCTAGTAGTTTGCTAATGTTCAGTTTTCCCGATTTTTGTTGCTGCAGCTGCGGTTCATGCATCAAAAAATACTCCATGATTCTTTGCACGACATCTATATTGTGCATTGTCTGTTCTTCTGTTGAACTGGGCCAGCCATTAGTGAGAATTGATGGGAATGTAAGTAAGATTGATCATTAGGAATGTTCTTGAAAAGATACTGTAGAAAACTGAGATATAAGCATTCTTAGAAGAAAGAATAGGTGGAATACTCACTTCACTGGCTTCCCTTGATCCCCCATTGTATAACTGGGAATCAAAAGATCAATAACATTGGCATCTTCCAACACCATGCCGACTCGTTTCTCCAGATCTGAAATCAAAGCTGGCGATGCGGAATATACTATAGCCATTTTTAACATCCACAACAAAAACTTACAAGAAACAGCTTCTTTCTGAGGAGGCAGGAGGCTCACTAGGCTTTCTATAATCGTTCTTTGCTCTTTATTGTTTCCAACCGCCCCTTCCTGCCTCCTACCACTCCTAATATTCCACTGCAGATCACTTTTTACATGACCAAATTTTTTTGCTCCATCCATCTCTACATCCATGCCCGGCAACCATTTTTCTGCGTATTGCATGATACACGAGCCAATTATTTCTGGTTTTAATCCTTTTGCCCTTACTGCTGTTATAATCCTCATGAAATAATCAATGCGAAGAGTAGCCACATCGCCAAACCACCAGCTTTCTTCACTCATCACTTCTCCGGAGGTTGAATTTTCCTGGGAAGTCTTCCAAGCAATTGAATCACAACATCGTCGCACAAGTTGGAGGTTTTCAGCCCAAGGAGACAGAGTCTCACAGGATTTTAGGACAGTAATGGAATCTCTCCATGAAGAAAGGACTACAATTGTAAGGAAAGCTTCTGTCTTAGATAGCAGGTTTCCATCTTCCAGTGCTTCGGTCATCTCTAGAAATTCTGATGCACATCTTAGTGCAGCTACGTTATTGGGGTTTAAGCTTACCGGTAGACCGTAACAAAATTTCAGAATGATCTCAAATGTTTCTGATCCACCTGGGAAGTTTTCCAGTTTGAGGTCATAGCCTAAACTCGAGCTTGCAGACTGCAGTTCGACTCGAGTCAGGTAGCCACATCTTGCAACCAATGGATACTGTTTCAGGTGAAATGGATGGGATTAGCAAGTAACTTAATGAGATAGCAAATAGCTTAAAGCAAGCATGTTCTGGTGTGAAACTGCTTAGGAAAGCGAGTCAAAGATCAAAATTTTGTTTTGGTGCATTGTCTTGATAAGCTCAGAGCAATGGGAACAGATAAAAGATTTGGAAATTTGTTTTCGAAACATACCAAAACACCTCGGAAGTCGAAACGTATGAGTTTTGATATTTTGTTTCGGTTTCCATGAAAACCGGAACTTTTTAGTCTGAAACGAAATGGAAAATGGACTGACAAAAAGCCATTTTAAGCACCAATGTCATTATTTGAGGTAAAGTTATATGTTCCCTTTTAAACTGTTTATTCGTATTACAGTACAAAGCTCTGTTAATGTTAGTTCAAAAACTTGGGCAAATTTTATCGGTTGGTAGCTGTGTTTAATCAGTTCATGAATTGATGTTAAATCTTAAACAAAATGCTTAAAAACTATTTTTAAATGAATATATAGTATTTCCTTATTCTATTAGTATGAACTGCAAATAAGCATGACACTTTTGATTTCATCAATAACACTAGAACAATCTGAATAGAAAATTCTTTTCGGTATATAAGTGATTTCTTTCTTTTCAGTACAAGTCTACAGATGTCCTTGATATAAGCTGATGGTTTAATATTTTTTGGAAGTTAGTTACTTTCTCTGTTTCCTTTACTCTATAGTCTCTATTTGTTGAACATAGCATATGTGGTTGAATCTTTAGCATTGATCTTTTAGGATGAAGTCACCATATTAATATTACTCAACTATAACATAATGAAAAGAATGGTATCTTTATTTTGTGTTTCTCATAAACCATATGTAGACTTTGTAGGTTTAACAAGAAATTGGCATTTGTTGTTACCTTGTGAACATGGAAGATGATATCCTGCACTTGAATTGATAGATCTGTGGGGATTTGAGAGGCAACAAACCTGTCAAGCACCAAAATAGTGAATGAGATTTAGCTCAAGGAGGAAATTAAGTGAAAACATTGAGAATCACATAAGGGAAGATCTTTTTAAAGAGTAAAAACAAAGTTAAAATTCATTGTTTGGGATGTAGGATTGTTTTGAAACAGTCCAGATAAATCTAAGATGACACACTGTTGTTTTCTCAATGAAATGTTCTTGCCAATCTATGAATGGTAGGA